TTTACATCCTTTTGTTTTCAACCTGTTTGTGTCTTTGATTCCAAAGTGTGCCTCTTGTAGACAATATGTGGTTAGATCTTGCTTTTTTTTGTTTAATCCATTCTTGTAATCTCTGCCTTTTGATTGGAGTGCTCAGTCCATTGACAGTTAATATAGTTGTTAATATGTTTGGATTTGTGTCTGCTTTTTTCCTATTTGTTTTATGTACGACTTGGGGATTTTTTTGTTTTAAGTGATCCATCGTCTGGCCACATTGACAAATAGGATCTTTTTTTTTGTTTTTTTGCTGGGAAAGATTCACTCTGAGCTAACATCTGTTGCCAATCTTCCTCTCTCTCTCTTTTTTTTTTCCTCCTCTGCTCCCCAAAGCCCCAGTGCATAGTTGTATATTTCAGTTGAAGGTTCTTCTAGTTTTTCTATGTGAGTTGCTGCCACAGCACGGCTACTGACAGATGAGTGGGGTGGTTCCAAGCCTGGGAACTGAAACCGGGCTGCCCAAGCGGTGAGAGCACCGAACTTGAACAACTAGGCCATCAGGGCTGGCTCCTTAATTTCCTTCTTTTGCATTAAATATTTTTAGTGTACCATTTTGTTATAGACTGAATTGTGTCCCCTCAAAATTCACATATTGAAGCCCTGACCCCCGGTGTGACTATATTTGGAAATAGGGCCTCTGGGAGGTAAATGAGGTCATAAGGGTAGGGGCCTAATCTGGTAGGGTTAGTGTCCTTATAAGAAGAGACACCAGAGAGCTCACGAGCTCACGCTCTCCGTGAGGACACAGCAAGAAGGCAGCTGTCTGCAAGCTGGGAAGTGAGCCCTCACCAGCCACCGACTCAGCCAGCACCTTGATCTCGGGCCACCAGCCTCCAGGACTGTGAGAATGAAATGTCTGTTGCTTAAGCCCCAGTCTGTGGTGGTCTCTTATGGCAGCCCAAGCGGACTGAGACACGTTTGATTCCTGTGTTGATATTTTGCAATGTGTTGTGTTATTTTCTTAGTGGTTGCCTTAGGGATCACAATATGCACCTTCTAATCTGCTTGAGGTGAAAACTGACTTAGTTCTGGTGACATGCAGCAGCGTTGCTCCAGCGTAGTTCCCTCTCCTCCCCTAGTTTGTGATATTTTATTTACGTGTGATATCCTGATATATGTTGTATATAGCACTTGTATGTGTCGTGAACCCAACAATACAGTGTTGTAACTACTTCTTATGAACAAACTCACGCTTCTCGGAGATCACGAGAGGAAACAGGACCACACGTGTTCTTCACAGTCGTCCCGTTTTTACCATCCCTGTGCTCCTCCCTCCTTCCTGTGGGTTCACGTTACTGTCGTCTGTCACCCCTTCCAGCCTGAAGCACCTTCTTACTGCAGGGCAGGGCGGCCAGCATGAGTTATCTCAGCGTTTGCCCACCTCTGGATGTCTTTAGTTTGTCCTCATTCCGGATGGTCATTTCCCTGGACGTGGGACTCCTGGTGGACCGTTTTCAGCCCTCTGCGCGGTTGTTCTGCTGCCTATGGCCTCCTTCATCTCTGTTGAGATGTCAGCCGTAGGCCTCGGCTTTCTGTGTGATGGGCTGCTTTTCTCTTTGTCTTTCCCTCACTATAGCTTTGGAGTAGTTTTTGAAATTGTGAAGTGAGTCCTCCGACTTTGTCCTTCTTTCTCAAGACTCTCTTGGCTCTTCTGCATGTGCTGGGAACCAGCTCTCCAGTTGCTCCTGACCACTTTCCCAGGCACTCTGGGTTTCCCTGCACACGCGTGTGTTTTTCCGTCAGCCAGGGTTACGTGGTGTACAGCCTTTCTCTGGCGCTCTGGTCTCCAGAGTCTCCGCATTCGATTCCCGGCGAGTCTCTGCTCTGCCTGGTCATGGCTACAGGCTGTGGCCCCCCCATTTGCTGCAGATTCACCACTGGTAGGGTGCTTTCTCCTCCTGCTTAGGGCTGCCCCTCAGGAAGCAACGCCGCTGGTCCCCAGCTGCCCCACACTGGTGCAGCTGCCCTCTCACCAGCCCCAGGCAAGGAAGCCCTCTTCCCACTCAGGCCACAGCGGTGTCTAAGGGTAGATGCCGTTGATTTCTGAAAACAGTCGTTTTTATAATTTTGTCCAGTTTTATACTCGGTCTTATAGAGATGGTTCACTGATTTCGACTCCAGAAGCCAGAAGCCCCTTCTCAGCGAACACTCATGTGAGTTAACAGACTTGGTGCGGTGTCCCACTCCTCCAGGGTGACAGGCAGTCCACCAGACAGTTTTGTCCAGTTTCACGTCCTATGACGATGCTCACGTGGCCGATTCATTTAACAGCGTTTCTGGGTATCTTACCTCTCAGCATCATACAGTAGTGATTGCTTTTTGAGGCGAATTGTCTCATCTGCAAAACAGCAGAGCCTTGTTTATCTGTCATGACAGGGCAATGAGTTTTTCCATATTCCAGATAATGAAACTTACCCTCTTTAAATGTCAAATTTTTTTTTGTTGTTTTTTTTTAATTTCTTTTTTTTCCCTGTTTTTTTTGCAGGAAAGATTTGCCCTGAGTTAACATCTGTTGCCAATCTTTCTCTTTTTTTAGTTCCCTCCCCAAAGCCCCAGTGCATGGGTGTATATGCTAGTTGTAAGTCCTTATAGTTCTTCTATGTGAGCTGTCACAGCATGGCTACTGACAGATGGATGGTGTGGTTCCGTGACTGGGAAGCAAACCCAGGCCGCCGAAGCAGTGACAGCACCGAACTTGAACCACTAGACCTTAAGGGCTTGCTCTCAAGATGTTTCTTTTTTTTTTTTATTTTTAAAGATTTTATTTATTTATTTTTCCCCCAAAGCCCCAGTACATAGTTGTCTGTCATAGCTGCACATCCTTCTAGTTGCTGTATGTGGGATGCGGCCTCAGCATGGCTGGAGGAGTGGTGCCTCGGTGCGCACCCGGGATCCAAACCCGGGCCGCCGGCAGCGGAGAGCACGCACTTAACCGCTAAGCCACGGGGCCGGCCCTCAAGATGTTTCTAATTTAAATTTTTCAAACGAAAATCTTTCTAAAATGTATTAAATAACATTGCTTTCTTGAACAGAAATCAGGGGTGACTGGGAGGTGTCTTGTAACAGAGCATCACCCAGGCCACCGGTTTTTAATTGGGCTGAAGCACGGGGCGTCCTCAGGACCCAAGGACGTCCTCTCTGGCCCTGCCCGGTGCTGCCGTGCTCTTGAGTTCTTGTGTGGCTCTCGGATGGTTTTGTGTCTCCTTGGCTGCTGCGCCTTCCTCCAGCAGCTCACTGATTTACTGCTCTTTAGAACAGACTCTGCCGTGCCAAGTGGTTCTGTCAGAGCCTGAGGGTACACCTGGCCCTCAAGGTGCTGCCCACACGGCCCCTCTGAGTTGTTGGTCTCTTGGAGCCTCATTTTCCTCGTCTCTGTTGATAACAGTTATTTCCACAAATTACTGTCAAGAGTAAAGAAGAAACTTGGAACTGGCCGTGGTGGTGCGAGCATGGAATCAGAACAGAAGGAGCCTGCCGCGTCACTCGTGATTCTGCCTGTGTGTTACCTGTGGCTGGGTTTGTTTGAAATCTGGTGTGGCAAGGCCAGCAGACCAGGAGGCGCCTGCCGGGAAGTTCATGCTCACAGGGACCTAGAAGCAGGAGGCGGGCACGCGCGCAGGGCCACACAGGAGGTGGCAGCGAGGGCGAAGCACAGGCAGGAGCTGTGATTGTGTTTTCACAGGAAGGAATGGGTGAGGTGGCAGGCCAGGCCAGCAGGTTTGGGGTTGGCGGTTTGAGTCGTTTTAGCGGTCTCCGGGGTGTAGGGGCCCCACATCTGATACCCCTCAGGTGATTAGGGCAGAGTGGAAGCCAGGCAGAGGAGGTGGTTCAGAGCGGGCTCTGGAGTGGTTGGTGTTCGTGTTAGAGGCTCGCTCGCAGGCAGACGGTTTACTGTCTCTGGGGGTTAGCTGGCCCTGGAAGGGGCAGGCACCCCAGGACGTCAAACTATCATAAAATGCAGACAGTAAAAAGCAGGATTAGCACAGCCTGCCGAGACAGTTTGCCTCCCTGGTTCTCAACGTCTGCGGGGTCTTCCTAGGGTCACCTGCAGACTCTGAGGAGTGCCTCGGTGCCACCAGAGGGCAGTGTCCTCCCACCATCCACACAGCCCAGGGGCAAAGAGACCAGACCCCCATTGGCCACTTGGTGCTGTGCAGCCTTGGGAAAGGCACTCACCCTCTCTGATCCAGGTTCTTCAGTGAGGAAGGGGTAACATGAAAGGACACATAGGGAGCCTAACCTAAGTGCTGTCTTCCTTCTTTCCCGCTTTATGTCTGAATTCTCGGAAATTTGGATACAAAGGAATTCAGGTATTAAAAAAGAGCAATCTTTACAAATTTGCCCTCTGATGTGACTAAAGCATACTAGGGACCGCTTGCACGTTTAAGAGAAGTTTCTTATTAATCTGGAAGGTTTCAGCGCTGAGAGAGTCAGGCGGTGTGTAAACCTGGCAGTTGAGTGGGGACCAGCAGTAGTCCTGGCACCGACACCCGGGTCTCTTAGGGAAGAGTCCGTGGTTCTCAGAGTTCCCAGAGCCAAGACCTTAGAGTGGGGGAGTGCCTGCGTCCAGGCGGGTGGTGAGCGCCTTCTGCATACCAGGGGCGCCCCTCACTTGCCGAGCCCTCAGGCAGTGGAGGTGGAGGCCACGGCCCAGGGCTTGGTGTCAGCTGGAACTCAGCTGGCCCGAGCGTCCGCTCCCAGGTCTTAACATGAGACCACTTGGTGGTTGGGACGGTTTGAATCTTGAAACGCAGGGCGTTCACCCTCCGTCATGGGGATGCCTCTGCCGAGTCGGGAAGAGCGTGGGGGGCTGTGCGGGGACGGGTGCGGTGGGGACAGGCGAGGTGGGGACGGGGCGGGCTCGCCTGGTCTCGTGGTGGGGGACAGGGCAGAGCATGCCGCGGGTGTGATTTTCTCTGTCCTTGGAGCAGTGTGGCGTTCACGTTTTGATCTGTCTCCTGCAGGCAGCGTCTCCCACCGCGGCTCTCAGCACCTTGGCCTGACGCCAGGTCACAGCAGCGTGTCACAGGCTCTCAGGTAGCGTCCCTCACGCGCTCCTGGACGGCGTGGGAACTGAGAAACGAGACTTCTCAGCATCCAACTCACTAGAAATGATGCTTTCTAACCCCATTTCTGCATGTTCTCAGTGAGAGTTATTGTGTAGACCACTTTATGTTTTGCTTTTTTTAAGCTGAAGTATAACTTAGGCAGCTGTCCTGTTACTGAAAACTCTAAAAGAGCCACTTAACGGCTGCACGGAATTCTATCACCGGAACAGGCCGGGGGTAGCGGACGTTTCTGTGAGGGGCAGGGGTGGGCACTTTCGTGAGTGGGCGAGTGGGCAGGCTGTGTGCCACTAACGCTTTGCTTACAGGAGCAGCTGAGGCTGCCGTCCCCCCTCCCCAAGTCGACTCGCCCCTCAGACGTTGGGCCCACTGTCTCCACCACCTGAAGTGCCCTCGGGCCATCCTACACGTGCTCGAAGTCCAGGCAGTCTCTCTCTCTTACCCCCTGACCTAAAGCCCCTCCATGGCTCCTGATGCCGACGGGCAGTCCAGCCACTGGCCTCCAGCATCCCCCCCAGCTCCCCCAGAGCTGTGTCTGTGTGCCCGCTGCCCCTTGCTTCACACAGCATCCCCACCCGCCTCCTGGACCAGAGCTGCTCCAGTGACAGGGCTGTGACCCTCTCGTCACCCGAGCCCCCCGGGAGCCGGGCCCCCACTGCCTGGTGCCCGCTGCTTCGAGCTCCTGACTCCTGCCAGCGTCAGCACAGAGGAGGGTCGGGGAGGGTCCGCTGATGACAGGCACTGGACCCTGCTCACGGTCATCACAGCCCAGGGGAGGTGCCACGAGGCTGCGTGGTGCCTGGCGGGTGCCGCACAGACAGCTGCTCTCACAGGGCCGCCTGCCCCCAGCGCAGCACAGCCTCGCTCATCCTAGGCACTCAGAACACGTGTTTGAATCAACACGTGGCCTTTAAGACTAAGAAATAGTCAATACTTGAATTATGTTGCCAAAGACATTTGAAGCGTTGCTGATTTTGTGTTTGTTGAATTTACTGCCAGGATTCCACCACTGCAGATCCCCTGCAAGGGACCGTCCCACACTCCAGCCCCCCAGGGACCAGGCAGAGCGGGACGAGGGGCCTCGCCTAGCCTCGGGGGCTCCCGGGCTCCGCCTCGGCAGCCCATCAGCATCTCAGGGCTGCTGCAGAGGCAGCACTTAGGCAAGTCTGCTCCCTGACAAGCCAGCGTTTCTCTCGGGAAAGTGCATTTGAGAAAACTCCACACGTGTGACAAGAGCAGACTCGAACCTTTGAATGTTCTTGGGGTTGTGTTTCTGAGCTTCTCTTAGTAGATGAGAATTCAGCAGTGTTCACTGTGTGTACGTTGTGGATCGTGACTGTGATGCTCCCGCAGGGTCTGCCAGCCTCCCCGGGCGCCCACACAAGAGATGAGCACGCCCCCGCCCAGGCGGGTCTTCTCAGCTCTTCAGTTCTCGGGTCTTCAGCCAGCCCCCCAGCACACAGACGATGGGCAGTAAATGTGATCGTATGTTTTTTCTTGATGGAGTAATTAATACAATTGAATAAAGTATTTTTCTGATTATCGGGGGCAGCATATACGTGATATGTTTGAACCATGACTGTTCTTCAAACTTCCTTAAAACGCAGTTGCAGTAAAGTGAACACCCTCTTGCTGGCTCCCTGCTGGGCTTTCTGACGGCAGCTCTTGGGCAGGTGGGAGTGGGTCAGGCCTCTCGGTGCAGATCAGTCCCTGCACCCTGGTTATGGGTTGCCTCCCACACGATCCTGTCACATGGTGCGCGACTCATGGATGCCGTGCTCGCCGTGAATCTGTCTCCAGGGAGGAGTTTTGTGCTGACGTCTCCCCACCAGGTGGGTGAGTCGCCCCCGCTCAGCCGAGGAGAGCAGCGTGCTCCCTCCTCACCCCTGTAGTCGGGACCACACCGGGTTGGAAAAGAGGCTTATGGGTTAATTATAATCCTTTATGTTGCAGTTAACTAAAACTTGTCAAAAAGCTGAGTATGGTCATCTCACTGGGTCAGGCTCACGGTGAGGGCAGGAGGAGAGTCCACCCTGAGGAAACCTGAGGCTTGGGCAGGGCGCACCTTGTTCCAGGCGCTGTGTCCATCACCCCTGCCTCCCGGGTGTCTCCCTGGGCCAGGAGGCGTCCCGCAGGCAGAAGGGAGGAGCTCGTGCACCCTCGCTGTCCTCTGGAACGTGCAGGGCACAAGTGCAGCCGCCGCGTCTGTGAGCTGACAAACGTGTGCTAAAGTCGGGGTGCGGGAGTGTGTGCTCCAGGTTGGTTCCATTCCCGGGAATGTGTCTGTGTCATGAAATCCCTGATTGTGGATGTGCCTTTCCCTGTGTGTCTTATGTCACATGTACGTGAGTGTTTCAGACATTGAAACGTGGGCTGGTCATGAAATGCAGACGTGAGGGTCACGTTTAGATGGTCCTGTCCTGGTTCAGCTCCGTGCGCCTGGCAGCAGGATCCACGAGGCTGGAAGATGGGCTTTGGGGGTGTTTTTGCAAAGGGACGTGGCAGCGGATGGCCTGGCGGCTGTGGTCCTCCTTCAGAAGCCATGAAGAAACACGTCCACATCAGTGGGGCCGCACCTCGAGTCCTGTCCTCTCTGGGCCTCTGTGCGCATCCTGCGGGTGGAGCGCTGGGTCTGCTTGGTGTGGGGGCTGCTTGTCAGTCCATAATTTCAAAATCTCACCCTTCCTTCCTTCACCTCACCTTGTTTTTTAGACACAAACTTTGATGCTGTATTTTTAGCATTTCATGTTCTTTATTTTTCTTGTTTTTTTCACAGTTGAGCTTCTGTTTGGCCTGTTTAAGTCCAGTGGGTGTCTGGTTGAGACAGTGTTGGCCACGCCAGCAGTGGTGACCAGCGCCTTCCGGTCATCTTATCACTAACAGCCGCACATCTGCTTTTCTTTGTCAGTAATTTTCGGTGGAAAGGCAAAATTAAATAAAATGTACAAATAATAGCGCAGATCCTGCAATAGACAAAGATGACAACGCATCCAAAATTAAACTGCTGGCCAACACCCCCGGTATTAGCTCAAACCCTTCATCAGCTGATGGACAAAAGCCAAATTCAGCCTAGAAACGGCAGTTCAGGGGCATTGACAGATAATTCATGAAAGTGTGAGCTGTGTGAAAATAAGATGTGTGGAATCGAGGGCCAGCAGTTGTTTAAAAGGGTCGTCCTGGAGTCGGCACAAGGGCAGAAGGGCCGCAGAACGTTGACCAGCGTGCCCGCAGGCTGGGCTCTCCATGCGTGTCCTGCAGGAGGAGGCCCTCCTGTGGCTCAGTGGTTCAGAGTGTGGGGCACCAGCAGCTGAGCTCTGCTCCTGCGTGTGCCGTCCTGCCTGCGTCCTGCCTGGTGGCGTGTGGCCTGCTGACGGCAGAGGAAGCGGGGGGCCGTGGACCACGGGGGAAGGTGATGGCCGGGACTTGCATGGCAGCCGCTCTGTCGTAGTCTTGGGACCTCAGTTTCTCATCTGCAACACGAAAGTTATGTGGGACATTCCCTTCCCATCCCACGTTTCTTACTCAAGGAGAACTGTGTGGCCGGCATCTCGACACACCTGTGGCCCGGTAACCGTGCCAGTTCCCAGATGCCACAACTTGTGCTTTTTAATTTTCTTGCAGCCACTGTGTAATCGTGACTCAGAGCAAGGGCTTCAGGGTTCAGGTCCAGAATTGGGCCCCTTCTTCCCATCTGCCAGAACAGGCAAGGCCCCTCGCTGAGGGGACATGGGAAGGCCCTGAACACATCACCTGTCACAGCACAGTCACCAGACAAGAATATGTCTCCACGTCCCCTGCATGGCTTAAGTGAAACCTCCCAGAAGCCCCACGGAAGTGTAAACGTTTCTAATGGTGATTTTTCTTTCTTTGCTAAGCGTCTGAGTTTTGAGGAAAAAATCTTTGAGACTGAAATGAATGTGTACAGACAGGAGATGTCACAGACAACACGTGGGAGTCAGAGGAAATGCCCTGGAAGGGACCCGCCAGGAGGAATGAAATCCTGCATTGGTCGGCTGATGGAGCCGAGTCCACGAGAGAATGCACGTTCTTTAGGAAAATCGTGTAATTCTTGCTCAAATTGGCCACACTATTTCCCTCAAGTTGTTTGCTATTAATAACGCTACTGTCTCATGTGATTGAAGTGTCACAATGTGAACGTTAAGTGCAGCATGAGACTTTCGTTGCTAGGCTGTTGACAATCCAGCGAGCACAGGGCTGGCCACAAGCTCTCACATCCGCTCATGGGGAGCCTCCCGAGCGCGGGCGCCAGAGGGCGCTGGACCGGGCAGGCCTGCGCCCGGCAGATCCGTCGTTTGGGAGAGCAGCCGGCCCTGTGTTGCTCTGAGGGAGCCTGTGCAATGTGCCGGTCACTGAGGCAAATCACAGAGACAGCGGCGATGCGGGGAAACTCCAAGGTTCAGTTCACTCGAGTGAAGACGCAGAGCAGAACGCCGAGTCTCCGTCGCCGCCTGCCGCCGTGTTGTCGCTGATTCTGGGCTGTCCCTGCAGTGCGCCCGGGAGGTGTCGTCTGTGCAGCAGTGTCAGTTACGGCGCCCAGGGAGCACGCAGGTGTCAGGGCGACCGCGTGCCCAGACAGCCTCAGGGCCGCCTCTGGACGAGACTCGTGCTTACAGGCAGGGAGACCACCCACAACGTCTGAGTCACGTGCAGGGGTTGGGTGTGAGATGATGAGACTGACCACAGGCCCCTAGGGTGGCACCCGTCCTGGTTTTTACCGTGTCTTCTATTCAGACGTGCCCATTAACCAGCTTTCTTTGTGTCCTGCGCCTAATCCATCTAGATGCAGTGCTTCCCATAGGTGTAGGTCACTCCTTGACAGCTTCTCTGGTATCCTGGTTTCTATCCTGTTTTTTTGTTTTTTTTTTTTTTCCTTTTTTCTCCCCAAGGCCCCAGTAGATAGTCGTATGTCATAGTTACACATCCTTTCTAGTTGTTGTATGTGGGACACCGCCTCAGCATGGCTGGAGAAGCGGTGCGTTGGTGCACACCCAGGATCCGAACCCGGGCCGCCAGTAGCGGAGTGCATGCACCCAACCGCTAAGCCACCGGGCTGGCCCTCTATCTTGTTTTAATTACAAGATGACACCTATTCATTCCAGCCCCAAGATTGAGAAAGTGGGAGGCGAGTCCCCTCACGCTGGCCGCCACAGGTGCCTGGCACAGCCCAGCTTAGGGTGCGTCCTCCCTGCCCAGGCCAGCTCCATCAGGCCTATTTCTCCTCTGGCAGCACAGCATCGTCCAGACCATGTCTCGTCTTCTAGAAGCCCTGCTTGCTGGGGTTGGATCGTTTTGGTTTTAATAAAAATGGGATCTGTAACTTGCCTGCTTGGTCGTGAGCTCTTCCCGTGGCTCACGTGGCCGAGCGTGAGGACTGAGGCCAGTTGCACTTGGCCGTCCTATGCTGCACAGGCACGTGGAGTCCTTGTTCCCCGTCTGGAGCAGCGAGGCGGCACCATCGCCAAACCCTGTCCTTGGTGCCTACGATGGGGCTGAGAAAGGACGGGAGGGAGGCCCAGCTGGAGAGGGGCGTTAGGCTGAGACCCCAGTCGGTCACGAATGCCCTAAAGCCCCTGGCCCAGGAAAGCCGGGTGGGGGGCCGTGAGGGTCCCCAACCTGAGGGAGCCAAACAGGGCAGGGACCAGTCTTGGTGATGTGGGGTCTGGGCAGGGCCCGGGCAGATGGCCCTGGAGACAGGGGCTCAGCCTGGAGAGTGGGAGGATTCAGAGGGTCTGGAGGGTCCAAGGACGATGGAGTTCCAGAGCCCTGGTGTAGGACGGGGAGACGCCAGGGAGGAAGGCCTGTGCACTGCCCCTGGCCCCCAAAGACGGTGGGAGAGTGTTGAGGGCCAAGTGTGTGGCTCTGAGGAAGGCCGGGCAAAGGGCAAGGCGAGGGGTGAGGCAGGCAGGACGGAAGGCGAGGGTCTGGGGGCCTCTCCTGCGGTGGGGGACGCTGTCTTGTGTTGGAGAAAATCCACAGAACGGAAGAGGCCCTCCCTCCCTGCATAGCTCAGCGGCCACCTCGGCCCAGCCCCCAGAGCCCCTGCACGAAGGCGACCACTCCAGTGCCACTGCGGTGCCGTCTGGCCGTGCTGACCACGCGTCCTGCCAGGACTGTGCAGGCAACCCCCGTGGGCCCCTTCAGCAGATGCGTGGAGAA